CCCCGGCCCCGGCTCCGTGGTCGCCCCGCCGGCTGAGCCCCGGGACTCCCCCGACGTGGTGCTTGGGAGTTGGCGGCGTACCGCTCCCTCCTGACTTGTCTCCTTACCTGTTAGTGCACTGGTGCGTACTGCGCGTTGTGGGTTTTAGGGGCTTTTTTTTTCGGAGGTGGGGAAGGGGGGAGGTGAGCTTTGCAGCGGGCTGCGTGAGGGTGGCTGGCTCGGGGTACATGTATGTGCAGTGGCGGCTCCCCGGGGCTCGGTCCCCTTCTTCTGCGGTCGTGCTGGCCAGTCTGCTTGCATAGAGATGGTAACCATTCTCCTTCAGGCAGATACAATAAGTTAAGTTCCAGCTTTTCAAGCAAAAGCCGCTCAGTGGTCGAAAAAACTTCAATTTTGTAAGTTAAACAAAAACTTTATAAACTAGCCCAAGTAAGCAAGAACTCTTAATCCTGCTTAACGATGATGGGATTAAAACGCTGGGCTCCCGCTCGGAGAGTGGAATAGCGGCCCCTTCGTCTGTCTGTCCGTCCGTCCATCCCTCCCACCCCTCACCTCTGGTGCGTATGCTTGTTTCTCTCCCTCTCCCGCCTCTCAAAACTTCCTGCTCCGCTTCGGGGTTTGTTCACGGTGCCGACATAGCCGCGGGAAGCCTCCGCGGGACTGGCGGGTGAAGGGGGCGTTTGGGAAGCCTGCCCCTGCGTCCAGCTCCGGGAAGCTCTTTGGTGGGAGAGGGAAGGTGGGGACGAAGCGGGCGCTGGGTCGTGGGCCGTACCCGCGAAGTGCCCCGTTCCTGCCGGGGGGGGACTCCTGCAGCGTTGGGTTCACAGGCTTTGCTGGAGTTGAAGCTGGTGTGAAATGAGGAAAGCTTTCAGAGGTGAAAGCTTCCCTGGACCAGAAGCGGCATTTACTTAAGCAGCCATTACTCCTCTGTCTCGGGACCATAACGCTGATTAGGCTGCGTGCCTGTGGTCAGCACTTGGCAGGGGTTCGGCTCAAGACTGAGGCAAATTTGGGAAGCGGGCTCATGTTTTCACGCAGCGCGAGATGGATGCTCCCAGCCCTCCTGAGCGTGAACATGTGCACGAAGGGGCCGGTGCCAGCGAGGGACCGGCCAAGCAGCCGCTGTGAGAAGAGGATTCCACACAAACGCGCTGTGAAGTTACGCGTCAACATAGAAATAACTTCCACGGAAAGATCTCCTTTTTCTGATTGGTGTTGGTTTAAACAGGAGTGCATTGTTCCAATGAAATAAGCCTTTTGCTTTGGCATGTGGAATATTTATATAATGCTTTTACTTCATTGTGTCTTTTCTCTTGGGCGCTGAAAGTTTGTTACCTTGCCAGATTAAAGAGTAAACCTGCTAATCATTTTAAAAGGCTTTATTATACTTAAGCATGCTTGGCTTGCTTTCTCGCATAATTTATTTTACTCGCAGGTTCCTTGAACAGGTAACTCTTTACCTGGACCCTCAATTAGTGTTATGCAGAATAATTTGAGGGCTGGCTGTAGTTGGGAGGTGGATCTTCTGACTAATGCAAACACGTGTCCTTTGAAATGCAAAGGAATAAATTAAAGACTGCTGGTGACTTTTGTTTCTGCTGTTGTTTTTCAGTTTCTAGGTAAGCTTTCGACCTCTTTGGTGCACAGCGTCATTTTATGTCACTCCCTGCATGACAAGACTGTAATAAAGAAATAAGATGTGGAAAATTTGTCTTTATGGTTACGCTTTCATCTCTGCACGTTAAAATTGACACTTTAGTAGCTAGCTAACAGCCTTATTAGCACGATGTTTCATAGTTTATTTTTAATCTGAAATGGTTATCTACTGTGTAGTTCACAACCACTGGATTTTATGTTTGACCGAAGACCAATATTCTGTATGTTACCTTATGAATATTATATTTAATTCTTAAAGTTAGTTTTATAAAACAAGTGACTGGAGGGGAGCTTATGCCATTTGTTTTCTTACACGTGCCATCTAGGAAGGGTGATACCATGATCTTCACTGAACTGGTCAAGCTCTGGGAGAAAGTATTTGGCTGGTGATATCCGCTGCCTGTAGTTAGTGCTGTGGTGCCATGGAGATGTATTCTAGAAGAATGACATAAATAACTGTGGTGGGAGATGCCAGGTCTCAGTGGGGAGATTGGTTTTGCAGATAATGATGCATGCTTATGGTACAACAATAAAAATATCTCGGAAAAATGTAGAGAGTAGTGGAAATAAGTGGTCTGACTTAGTCCATTTTAATTTTCAATGTAAAACTGAGAATATTTCTCCAGGAACCTTTTTTTTCCTTCCAAATCTTTTTACAATCAAACACCTATAAATTGATTTTTTTTTTTAATAACTTTTCCAAACCAAAAGAAGCATGGAAACTTGCCCCTGTTCCATGAAACAACCCCCAAAAAGCAAAGTCCAAAAGTAAGCTGTATGACCACTGCTGGACAGTTAGCTTATTCACTCTTGGTGAACTGCCTTTTTTTCTAAGTGGCTTTTGAACTAACTTTTGTGGTAACTCTTACCCTGAAGAGTTTTGTTCTGTGATTTTTGAGCTGTTCACTCCTAGGTGAATACTGTAAATAGCATTTATCTAGAATGTAAAATAGAACCTATCAAGAATTAGTAGCCGAACATGAATATTTTTAGACTTTTGTAATCAGGTTTTAAATAAAAAGTGCTCTGTTCATTGTTACCAACAACAGCTGATACAAAATGCAGTTGCTTGTCTTCTCTTGCTAATTCAGACTAGAATGCTGCTATTTTTTGCGAACAAGGGTGTTTTTTCTGGCAGAGTGCGCTGTACTGACAGTAGCAGGCTATGAAGCTAATAAGAGTTGGTCTAGTTAAATGGAAGCTGCTGAGGAAGAGTTGCGCTTATACTCACTAGCCATTTTCTGTGCAGGTGAAGCATTTCTCAAGCTTTGACCAAGGATGTGATAACTTTTTAGCTACACATCAATGTTTGAAAACTGTCTGATATTTTTATAAGCACCTCCTCAATTTCTGTCTGGAAGAAGTAATGGTGTAGTTATAGGTTTCTCTTACAGCGTGACACAAATTCAAATAGTATTTAGGGTCCATATTCAGCAATGAAAAGGTACTTCTTTGGCTAGGATGCTGTGTTGATTTGACTTGTGGCTGGGTTGACATGGAGTTTACGCTCTTTGAGTGATATAGCCTGCACTGTTTTCCTGACTATACTGAGAAGATGTTTGTTTGTGGTTTTTTTTTTTGTTTGGTTGGGTTTTTTTGAGTTGATCCTTGTTGGGGTATAAACTAACATCTGGATGGTGTTGCGGTTGATCTGCGGTCTGGCTCTTATGCAGGCAAAGCTGCTTACGGGCTCAAAGTCCTCACCTGTATCTCACAGCACTCCCTCCTGTGCCCGTGAGACTGAAATTCCCCCAGAGCTCCTCAAGAGAGGGATTCCTGGAGTTACTGAGGTTATTGTGGGACAGGTGTACGGCCATGGAAGTTGTAGCACTGCTGGTATTTGATTGTAGGCTTGCAGTTTTCTGGGCTACCCTGGGTCCAGAAACCAGCAAGAACCCATTTAGTTCCATAGGGCTATGCACATGGAGAAGTCTGCAGCACAAAAGTGGCATAATTTTACTGGCGTAGCAACAACTTGGAGGAAAGAGAGTGATCTGATCATGTGGAGAAACGTTCTCTGGTCCCAGAAGCCCCTGGCTACTGAAAACCCCACAGCTAAGGTCATTCCTCAAAAGATGCGAGAGGAAGGAAAGCTGTGTATAGGATAGAGCCTCCTGTGTGAGAAGTGTCACTGTCCTATTAGAGAACATCACTGTGCCTCCTCTTTGTTTGCTGTAGCCTGATCTGTCTCTTCCCCCTGCCCCCAGGCCTCACATACTTATGTGAGTTGTGACTTCAAGCCAAATTTTACACGGTAAAGACAGTTTGACGCGCTTGTGGTTAGAAGCCTCCGTTGTTGTGAGGCTCCGTTACAATTTGGCCTTTGTCGCTGTAGCTGTAGACTTAGCTAGCTGGGGATCATGCGTCTGCTCTGGTCTCTTCATTGTACTCCAGGTTCGGTTATTCCCTTCCTCAGTAGTTCATGGGTATCACTTATTCCTGTGCCTGTTATACCATGAAATACCCTGATTTCCATTCCTGGTAAAGCTTTCGGGCAGCTATATTTATTTATAGGCATGCCTGGGAGAAGAGGGAGAAATACGCTAATTTATTAATAGTTAGCAATTAATCGTGAGGGCCTGGTGTTCTTTTTTTAGGGCTATCTTGCTTACCCAGGGAGATTTCAACAAGGTCAGTCATGTTAACTGTGTGTGCCGGGAGCTGCAAACCATAGCTGGATTTTAGAAACAATTATGGGTAATGCATAGTGCTGGAGTTACTTTTTAGTCTTCCTTTTCTTTTTAGGTACTCTCAAGTGAATGCTGTTGTGTCCAAATTATTTGGGAAAATCTAACACTGAGAAACCCCTGGTTATTTTTTAAGACAAAGTATTTTGCTTTCAGTGAAGAAGAGCAGAGAGCTGCTCGTAACTGGGGCTGCAGAAGAATCTTTCCTCTCTTTACTTGGTTACTTTAAAAATACTTGTATAGAGTATTTGTTAAATAGATCAGAAAATGACACTGAATAACCACTCTTTGCAGATCTCAGCTGAAATTCTGAATATAGCTGGCCCATAATGTTTTACTAGCAAAAGGTGAATATACTAAATCTATTTATATTTATTTGTGGGTTGAAACAAAGTAAAAAGTTGCACAACGAGTTCATACTACTGCAGTCTTAGCAACAATGAATGAATAATTTTAAGATTAGTGAATGTGTATGAAAAAAATAAACCAAAGTCGGCCTCTGTGTTCATGTGTTTAGATCGTGTTTTCATTTTTTTGCTGTGTTGCACTTTCTTGAGCTGCTTGTGGGTTCTGTGATTTTTTTTTAATTTTTTTTTCCCCCCTGATCTCTTCATGTTCACAGTCAGCTCTGTTTATTTGCCGTTAAGTTGCTGTTCAAACTATTTTAACCAAACATCAGAAAGTCTAAAAGTTGAATGCTGTCAGCATAACATCTGGAAGAGCAACATTTTAAATGCTAAAATCACAATGGGCATTAGTGGAAAGTTGATTGTAACCTTTGTAGAGGAATGTAGTGAAACTGACAATGAATTTTAGGTATACAAGGGTATATTTAGGTAGTACCTGAACATGGGTAGTAGTGTTAAGAGCAAAGATGTTTGCTCAGTGTAAACCAACTAGAGATGTAAGGCGGTATACTTATTAAGAGAAATGTCTTCTAACAGCTCAGTAGAAGGTGCAGGGATTGGCCAGTGGGTTGGTTGCTTTTTTCCTTCTTTCTTTAAAGCTTTTCCTTGAGTGACAGGAAGTCGTTTGTATCTGTTTTTGGAGATTTCTGTATGAAAAGCCTCATTTTTGATGAAATGTTGTGTGCATGTCAGATTTTCATAACTCTTGTTACGTGTTCATTCCTTGCAGTTCTGCCTGGGACCCCATGTTTTCAGCCTGTAAATCATTTTGACCAAGGATCATGCCTCCCTCTGTACACTGTCTAGCACATTGCAAGAGCTAAGGGAAGATAAAGTACAGGGCACTGGATAAAATGCATGTTAAAATTGGTCGTGATTTTCTTAAGTAAAAGACCCTGACAAAAGGCTGTTATCCAACACATGCTACTAGATGAATTGCAGTTATGAGTGATGCGTGCATACAGCCTGTCAGCAAGTATTCAAAAGTATGTGGGTTTTTTTGGGTGGTGTTTGTTCTTTCCTTTTGATTTCTTAAATCTAAACTTCTGGATTGCCTGGTTTAAGTCATGGTCTAACAGATGAGCTCCTTCCAGGCACGTCAAACAGATGATGACTAGCGACAGTTAGGGATTGCAGAAGAGGTGGCAAGACTGCTCAGTTTTCAGTTTGCTGCATCATCTTAGGACAAGATTTTCACTTATAGGGAAGCTTCACACAGAAGGTATGTTAATGAGTAAGTCCAAACAGTGCCTCTGCGAATTAAGTGGAAAAAGTTGATTACCGTTGCATTTTTTCCATAAAAGCGATGATATTGGTCTTAATTTGTACCTTGCATTTTCCTAACAACGTTGCATGGTGAGGTCTCCCCTCCCT